GTTTTCTCGAATAGAATACACTGTATATTTATAAATAATATGATTCAGCTTGATATGAGCTTCTTAAAAATATATAACACTCTGTATTTATTTTTACTATTTACTACAATATTTAAAATATATCGTTTTCTTATTAGTAAGCCGTGATTGGGGATATAATAAAAAAATCAAAATTGTATTTACTAAAATTAATATTCATATAATATACTGGGTGCGTCTCAAATGTGGCTCAACCCTATAACTTTTTTTTTTATTTTTTCAGATAAAACAACGCGATTTGGTATGTTGCGGTCATGAGTTGGTCAAATGGAACGTTGGTGGCTCATTAGCATATTTGGAAAAAGCATTTTTTTACGAATAATTTGATACCACACACTTGGTATTTTGAGTCAAATTGTCGTTATGAACCGCATGTTACCATTTCAAATAAACCATATGCCAAAATGTCAAAAGTTGACTTGATATGTCATTCGATTTAGAGTGTAATTTTTTATCGAATAAAGTAGAAAAATACCGAGAGTGCCATTTAAAAATCAAAAGTTGTAGTAATTTCCGGTGAAATCGGAAGTGACCGAAAACAATTGAATACGTCAATAAATCCCAATTTATATCATATACTAACATACCAAATATCGTTGTTTTATCTGAAAAAATAAAAAACTTATAGGGGTGAGCCACTTTTAAGACACACCCGGTATAATAATATTCATACACATATTGAAATTTTATTTGGGACTAGAATATATTATTTTTTTAACTGTTACCACTGAATCCCTAAATATATTTTCCTTTTTTTTATAACGAGATTTATTATAACGAGATGGGTTTGCAAATATCATCTAAAAGCCTGCCTGATAGCATTTTCCAAGTCTTCGACATTCTCGTTTACACGATATATTTAATTTTTCAAAAATATTCTTATCGCAGAATAACAGACTACGCCACTGTATTCTACATAAAAAATTCCGCAATAAACAGTTTTCACCTTCTCAATACTTTTACAATAACAGAGATACGGAGGGTGTCTTAAATTTCAAAATTTTCAACAAGACCCGTAAGAAATATTATTGGCAAATGTAAAAAAAATCGGCAAACAAAATCGGCAACATATTTTTAAAATGTAACATACTGTATATTTAAAACTACGCATTTCCAAAAACATATTTATAGGAATTTTTCTGCAAATTTTTTGATTAGGAATCATTCCCTAAAATGTGTTCATGCATATTTTGCATTATAAGTACTGATTTCTCTACAAAAAATATGAATATGCAATACAATAAAAAAACGTCAGAGATAGCTTGGAAATGAAGATCGCTGTCATTTTATATTTAAAATTATATAGACAATGTCATCGATATTTCCAAGCGAACTGGACACCTTTTTTTTCGATCATACGTTATGGATCATAGATCATAATTTTAGAAGTCATTTAGAAATCAGTTGCTGGTTAGGAATTATCTATAATAGAATTTTTTTACATAAAATTAAAAAAATATTATAAGTATTATATTTTTATATTTGATTATAACTTTTGTAAACCTTACTGGAGCCACGATTATAAAATACAATAAAATATATATCATAAAATTAAGAATTATGAAAAAAGTTATTATACAATATCTGACAAAATTAATAATAATATTATTTATAAGTTAATATTATGTTCTTTTTTATGTAAAAAATTTAGTATTAAATTAAAAATATGTAGTAACACTTTAAAATTGTATATGCACGTGACTCTAAATGACATTAATCAAAACGCTAATATAAAAGTAAAGCAATAGCATTTATTAAAATGAATTGCATATATTTTATTTTCTATTTTAATTTATTAAAAATATCTAACAATGTATATTATGTATTATTTGTACTTTCTAATTACTCTAAATTCACCTATAAATAATCAATTTCCGCACAATAAAAAAATAATTACAAAAAGGAAATTAATTTTCACAACGTCTACACCAGTACAAAGGCTTTATTTTACACGAATGCCAGAGAGTACAATAAAAAATTCTAGGAAATGAAACATAACAGTGATAAAGCAAAATAAAACACTAATTTGGCACGTGTGAATTAGTGTTTTATTTTGCTGTTGTGACAGTAAAGGTCCCAGCCCCCAACTGTTATCATAACAATGATATTATATTCAAAATAATGTAGAAGGTTCAAGAATGTCATTGGAAGATTTAATTACTAAAAATGTCCTTTTAAGTTAATTAAAACAAAATAATGCTGTATCTATTATTAATATTATTTGGTAAAATTTTATATAAAACAATTAATTTACAAATGGAACAACATTCACCTGTAATGTACTACGCGAGCAAAATCATATAAAATCTAGATTAGTTGTGCTTGGTTATTACTTTTTTTCTGTTAACAGGCATTTAAAGCACAGCACAAAATTTATACGTACGTCTACTGGATCTGTGTTTATGAAGGGAATTTCAAAAATGCAGACGCAATATTGTTTTTTTTAGATCGCTACCCATATACACGCGGCAGAAAGTATTTTTTTATCATATGGTAGCATTTAATACAAATTAAATCGATTGAAATATGAGTTATTGTTTTGTTTAGTCTTATAAATGATAGATTTATCTTATTTAAAAAGTTTCATTTACTGTTAAAGCTCCAGAATTTCTGAAATAACTCAAATAACAAACCAGGTATAGAAATAGTTGTTTCTTATTTTGAATTTATACGTTCGGCATCCATCGGGTAAAATCGGAGCTCCTTGCGCTCGTTACGTTTGCGTTTTGAACGTACGTAAAGATACGTAAACGCAGGTTAAACGCAGGGTAAAGGCAAGTAAACTTCTCACTGCGCAGCGATACTGGTCTTGGTCTTGCATTTGCTCATTACTAAATATATACAAGATAAATTAAAAAATCCATAAACGCAGAGTAAACGAAAGTAAACTTCTCACCTCACAAGAATAAATATCCAACCGTAGGTTTAGTGATAAACAAGTCTGGTCTTGGTCTTTCTAAATACGTATGTATGTGTTTTGGCCGTGCTTTAACTGTCTAATATTTGTTCATGAGAGATAATTGAAAAATGCCATATTTTCATTTCAGACTAAAACTATAATTCAAATTTATTAACAATGAATAATATTAATTTGTCAACATAAAATTTTAGTACAAAAATTATCTCATATTATATGGCCTAGATTTAAAGTGAATTTTTGGATTGAATTTTTGGATTTACAATAAAAACATTTCTATTTGAATGTTAAATTACCATTTTTAGAAGGAAGTTTAGCAAATGTAAGAAAGCTGAAGATGATTTAAAAAAGAAATATTTTAGGACGTTTAGTTAAAAATTGGTGGTAAACAAATAAATGACTTTTGAATGACTCAAACCATGATTTTGTTGTTTTTCAAAAGTGACTTACCCTTATAACTTTTCATATTTTTTCAGATAAAAAAGCGAGATTTGGTACCTTAGTATACAGTATGTCCCCCGGATTGTCTGTACAAAAGGAAAAACTTTTTTTAAAAACATTTTGAGAAAAATGCATTCTTCATAAAAGAATTTGCTTGTTTTAAAATGGTTAATCTTGTTTATATTTTTAAAAATTTCCATACCGTTTTAAAGAAAATTAAGAAAAAACATAAAAATATGTTAGAATTTTTCGTTCGATGTCGTAAAAATTAAAAGGCGTTTCTATGGAAATATCAATTCGATTTCATTCTTTGATAGATGGTTATTATTAATTTTGATTAAAGTCATATTCTTTGCTGTTAAAGTATCACATTTTCCGATAACTATCCTCATCCTTTCCATAGCACTGAACTAAATAAATTTTGTGCTTCTTTAACATTTTAAAACAACAAAAAACATTACGCTGATTAAAATTCTATGAATAATAATCTACGAAATAATTAAAATGAAGTTATATTACCATAGAAACGCGTTTTCTTTTTTTGGGACTGGGTTAAACGGAATTAACCATTTTAGAACAAGCAAATTTTTTTATGAAAAATGCATTTTTCTCAAGATGTCGAAAATAAAAAAGTTTTTCCTCTTGTATAGACAATCCTGGGACATACTGTAGAACATATATTAGGATTGATTGACGTTATCAATTAGTTTTTGTCACTTACTCTATATTTTACTTTGTTTGATAGAAAATGACATTCTGAATAGAATGACATAATATATGTAAGTTTTTGACACTTGGCTTAAAAATAGTATTTTAAATTTCAATCTAGAGTTCCACGGTCATAAAAGTAACGACAATTTGACTCGAAATACCAAGTATATGGTACCAAATTACTCGTAAAAAAATGTTTTTTGCAAATATGCTAATAAGCTACGATTAAAAATACCATTTGTGCATCTTTGGACCAGCCAGGAAAATATACGAAAAATATTAGACGATAATTTTTTTTTCCAATGCGCTTTCTTTAAAAATTAGTGGTTTAATGGTACTCTAGAAAGAAAATTAAAATATCTACTGTTTTTATTAATTGAAAATGTCAAAAGTTGAGATGTGATATGTCATTTTTTCTATCAAATAAAGTAAAAAAATACCCATGATACCATGTAAAAGTCAAAAGTTTTAGTCACTTCCGGCGAAACAGGAAGTAACCGAGGGTAATTGAATACGTCAGTCAATCCCGTTACATACCAAATCTCGTTTACTATGTAAACACTTTTAGTACTTTTGAAAATCACCCGGTATGTAGATATATTTATCTGAAAATATACACACATAACGTACAGTAATCACCACAAATGTTAATTATGTATAAAAATGAAGTTTTAGTAAGATATGAAATTCTGGCATTTTTCATATGCCAATAGATAAATAAATATATCATAAATATGTTATCGTTTTATTATATAACATAAATATGTTATATAATATATCATATATCATAAATAAATATATCTAGTTAAAATTAACTATTTATAATAAAACCAAATTTATATTTTACGCTTAACCATCACATCAAACAATTCCTAAGCCACATATTTTCTATCACAGCCTGTATCCATCTCACTTTCCGTATTCGTTTCTCACCTAAATGTGACCGTCCATGTAATTCACTTCACCATTTCTTTGTCCGTTATCAGCGCCGGTAAAGATGGGCACTTTGTGGTTGGCAACGTTGCCGTTAGCCACCCCCGTCACGCCATTGGCTAATTTCGCCACGCCATTCACTAGATGAGCTTTGCCGTTGGCGTATCCGTTGGTTACGTTGTTGCTAACCTTTTTACTGATGGTTTCGATGTCTTGATTCGCCGCATCTTCTAAATCGTGAAGAGTGGCATCACCGTTGGGTATATGGCCTGAAAATGGTACATACAGTTTATAATCATAATATTTTTATTAATTGTCACTAAACAGATTATTCCTATAGTACATACATGCTTAAACGTTGATGGACAGTATTTGTAAAGGCTGCTTTACAGTTTGTAATTTTACTTGCATGCAAGAAAAGTTGCTGCAACTTTTCTTGTACTTGCAGATTTTTCATTGCATGCAACTTTTTGTTATTTTTCTAGTTATCTTCAGTTTACCAGTTGCTTAACATAACCTCATATTATACAGGGTGTCTCAGAAATAAGTGCAAGTATTTTAACTGTTAGTATAGTTCAACGCCAAAAACACGCCTATTCATTTTTTTTCGCGCAAAAAAAATTTGAAAATTCGAAATTTTCTAAAAAAATGTTTGGAATTTCTTTTAGTTTTTAGTTTTAATAACATAATTTCTTGATAATATGGCAACATAGGTATTAGATTAAATTTACAAGAAAGAAAATCCAGAAATGATCCATCAAAATTTTAGCAAAAAATCTTTTTTTTGAAAATTTTCAAAATAAAATAACTCCGATATTTTGGACTTATTTGAAAAACGATAAAGATAAAATATGTTTCTTTTATCGAGATCTACCACTCCTTAAAATACTTGCACTTATTTCTAGGACATTTTTAGTTTAATGTGATAATTTACGTTAATTCGTTAATTAGTTGTTATTAATAAACGAATATCAAATAACGAATATCAAATACAGAAAACCAAGAATAAGACAAATGGAAGAAAAATTGAAAAATAACGCGATATAGCTGATAATCCTCTAATTTCCTTTAAGTTGGTCATTCTGTATCCAACAAAAATATTCCATAAAAATTGCTGACTGTAAAGTGAACTTAATTGCGGCAAATAAAATTGCTGCAACTTTTCTTGCATACAAGTAAAATTACGAACTGTAAAGCGGCATTAAGAATTTTAATAAAGTTGTGAAACGAACATCATCAACATTGAACATACTATTACTTCTTTTTTATATTTTTTATTTATATTTTAAATCTATGAACAGGGTGTTCCAATATTTGGTGGACATAGAACTACTACTTTTTTTTGAAGTCAAAATAAGTTATTTAAAAATAATTTACTTCTATACAAAAGTGCTTCGTTTGTCCATTAAAGAACACCAATTTAAAACAAATAAATGTGTTTTTTAAGATATTTTAAAAACCGCTATTTCGATTTGAATTAGAACAAAATGGTTGACTTCAACTACGACTGATTTATTTTTCGTAAAATGATCCTTCTAGTATTTACTGTGCACTTTTCAGAATTCATTACCGATTCTGAACCGTCCTAGAACTGTGATGCGTATGCGCTGAAGGAAATATGAAAACATTATTTCATTTGCGCATGCGCTGCAGAATTCTAGGACGGTTCAGAATTGGTAATAATAAGAACCCGAACAAAGCTCATATTGATCTACTCCATGTAATTTTGTAGGACCGATATATCAAATGGTGAATTCTGAAAAGTGCCCACTATATTTTTACCACTTGTAAAAACATACCATCTGTCATAATTTTTGAGAAAAAAAATTCCCCGAAGCTAACTTACAAAAATAGTATATTTTTTGTTAGGAGCAAAAATAATATTTTTTGTGGCGACACTCGCCACAAAAGACCTCGAGTTGACATATAGCCGAGGCGCAAAAAGTAATTTTTACTCCGAATAGAACAAGAAATTAATCAAACGCCACAAATAAGTTTTTAAACAATTTCAAACGTTATTCAAATTCAATAAAAGTCATACCTTGTATCTAATTATACAGGGTGGCCCATCGAAAATGTTCCGCAAGGCATAACGGCCAGAGTATTTTTTTTTCAAAAAATCCAAAAACACGTCAATTTTGTTTGTGAGGGGGACAACTTTTGCCCCAAAAATGAATGCAAAATCTTCAACCCTCTAAGCGGGGGTGTCATCCCCTAACTTTTTTCAAATGGGAAGGGGGGTCAAGTGACACTGCAATGAAAAGAGCTTTCTATTCTCTATATTTCCCCGCTTGGTTTTTGAAAATCGGTCGAGTCATTGAGAAATGACTCGATTGAAATTTGAAAAGTTTATTTAAACATTTATCAGAGTAAAGCTTGATTTTCATGCATCCGTTGTCCGACGATACGTTGATACGATATTAATTTTATTGGTAGAATTTAAAGAGATTTTTTTTGATTGGTTAGAAAATAACGCAGTTTTTAAATTTATTGCATTTTCATGCCTCCGTTTATCGGATGTACGTTGGTGTCATTTTATATTTTCGTTTCCATAACGATTTTGCTATTTTACTTATCTTTTTATTAAGGTTAGATTAAATTTGTCAAAAAGGTGTCAAAACGTCCGTTATCGTATGAACGGGTCCAAAGAACGGGTCCGTTGACGGGCTGAAGTAAAATATTTACGGATGAAAAGTGGCGCGAAAACACTATGACCAATTAGAGCACCGTCGGACCATCTTATCAACGTATAACGAATGCATGAAAATCAAGCTTAAATGATAAAGATAAATTCATTCGACCAATTTGCTGTTTTTTCTTATTATTTCTAGATGTTTACGCATTTTTTCACTTGCCACAAGGTTGAAGGATCAGGTGCGGAAGTTGCTAGATAACTGTTCTGTGACTTGTGCGTTGAACTTCTTCTCAATATCTTAAACTGACCTACAATAGAATTTCCAAAAATACCAGCCCACACGTTCAATTTCTGAGGGTTTTGCGTGTGCACCTCGTGATAAACCTATTGTTGGGTTGTCCTCAGCCCAGTTCCGACAGTTGTGCCGATTAACTACACCGTTCAAAAAGAAAGTACACTCATCCTAAAAACACACATTAAATAGGAAATTATTATCATTCGCCACTCGTTTCACTCATAGTTTCACAAAATTGCAAGCGACGATCAAAATCGTCTTCGTTGAGTTCTTGTACCAACTGAATTTGGTACGGGTGGAACTTGTGTTTTTTTAATATCCTTTGGACACTTGTACGATTCACGCCGGTCTCATTGGCTAATTTTCTTGTACTCAGCGTACTATCCATGGCAACTTGGCCCAATACGAATACCTCCATAGCTTCATTTACTACAGACTCTGCCTCTTTTTATTCATAACGGAACCAGTTTCGCGAAATTTTGCTACTAACTCGCGAACAATTTTGCCATAAAGGTGTTTGTCAGGATAGCGTACATTGAATATGTGCGCAACCCGATACATTCATTATTATTAAAATAAAGTTCGATTATTTCCACTTTTTCTGCAAGTGAGTACCCCATAATTGTTAAGAAGTTTAAGGATATTGAGAAGAACTTCAACGCACAAGTCACAGAACAGCTATCTAGCAACTACCGCACCTGATCGTTCAACCTTCTGGCAAGTGAAAAAATGCGTAAACATCTAGAAATAATAAGAAAAAACAGCAAATTGGTCGAAGGAATTTATCCTTATCATTTACTCTGATAAATGTTTAAATAAACTTTTCAAATTTCAATCCTTCATATTTTCTCAATGACTCCACCGATTTTCAAAAGCGAAGCGGGAAAATATAGAGAATAGAATGCTCTTTTCATTTCGGCGACACCTGACCCCCCTACTCATTTGAAATAAGTTGGGGGATGATACCCCCGCTTAGAGGGTTGAAGATTTTACAATCATTTTTGGGGCAAAAGTTGTCCCCCTCGCACAAACAAAATTGACGTGTTTTTGAATTTTCTGAAAAAAAAATTACTCTGGCCATTATGCCTTGCGGAACATTTTCGATGGGCCACCCTGTGTATCGAGAAACTATAGTTACGCTCGTTGAATTTGACACTCTATATCAGTTTAATAATATATTTCGTACTTTTATGCTTAGGTATAAAAGTGCTTTACTTTTATAGTAGTTTAGGCGTTAAAATGACTTTTTTATATTGTCAATCACGTCGCAAAAACTAATACTTTTGTGACGTTTGAAAAGAATAGTATATTGCATAGATAAATGCAACAAGTTTAGATTGGAAAGCCCGTAAAAATTTTGGGTCGCGAAATTATTTTGGGTCGCGACCGTTATACGCGATCTGGCGCTGCTATAGCGGTCGCTAAGAACAACGGCAAACAAAATCAGAAATAATTTTCCCTTGTCAAAGTCAGAATATTCAAAAATCATAATAATCTTTCAAAACCTAAACCGCTCTCATTAAAGAAATTCCGAAAAGTGTTTATAGCGTCCATTTTCAAAGTAATTATTGCTATCTTGTGAGTTTAATTCAAGTTTTATTTACTCCAACCGGTGATAATTGTGAAAAAGTAGCATTAAAAACTTAAAAAACTGTGCTGTGAACTGTGAACTGCAAAAACCATCGTGGATCGTGGCATAACGTCGGTTTCCAATGTTTCATAGGTATTTCATACATGCGTCCTTATATAAAATAAAGTTTCTTGTATGCAACACACTGTATTTTATTTATAAAATTAAACGAAAATAGTAATAAATTTGAATAAACAATATTTGGTGATATAATTCCGGAAAAAGCCGAACCGCTCCGAAATTTTCAAAAGTTTTGGGTCGCGACCGTTGCAAGGATAGCGCCAAATAGTGTTTACATTGTCCTTATGGGCACTTTCCAATCTAAACTTGTTTCATTTATCTATGGTATATTGTTTGATTAAAAGTAAAAATGACACTTTTTGTGGCGAGGCTGTACGTTTAAGTATTTATTACTTAACAGGTTATAATATCTATTAAATACACACACGCCTAAACATTAAAAGACAGTATTCAAAAAAAAATTCACAAGGTCGAAAGACAAACATCACTATTCAACGTACCATTTTACTTATTATCTTTTTTTTTTCCTTTATCAACTTTCATCTTTATTTCAATTCTGCACAGCAAGCATGCGCAATAAAATTTCATAATGTTAATAATTCAGTATAGAAAAATTAAGTAAAAAAGTTGATTCTTAACTTTTACAACAAATGAAAAATATTCGAATACGAAATTAAATAAGGTATTC